GTAATTCATATTCTTAATATATATTTTTTCAACTTCTTTCGCAGCTTTACTTGCCTGGAATCAGTCCAGAGAATTTGTGTACATCTATTATGTGCTTCGAACAATTTCATATATTATAAGCCAGGGAAGCATCTTCTGCATTGCTGTTGCTTATGCGGTAAGAGTTATTTCTCACTGATAGAAAATCATGGATGGCAGTTATCACATTTTCCCTTCCTCTGCAGGCAGATGTTGTCAGTGTCAGCAACAGGGCTGCAGTATTTAGTTGGATTACCGGCCTGTTTTCTGCCTCCCATGTCTTAGGAAATATGCTGGCGCGTTTTCTTCCTGAGAAGTACATTTTTCTGGTATGTTGTACCATGCTTCAACGTTATTATCATGATCATATCTGCTGCCTTCTCATCCCACTATTCTCCAAGACTTTGATGGCTATTTTTTTTTTTTTAATTTTCTTGGCTGTTCCAGGTTTCAATAGTTCTCTTGATTTTTTGTCCAGTTTATATGCAATTCTTCCTGGTTGAGACGGTAGACATCGATACCACAAGGGAACAAGATACAGGCTGCTTAACTAAGTCAATGATGGTTCTCAATAAAAGATATAAAGCAATGAAAGATGCTGCAGAAATAGTTATTAGCAGGTTCTTTAGCATTTTTATCTATGTTGATGCTTCAAGATGCATCTTCAATTCTTTATTAATCTTTTTGGATGTTACCATCTTCATATTGGAGTCAACTAGCATACAGTCCTTTTCAGACATTCTTCTATATGTGAATAATCAAATAGCTGTCTAACAAAGGGTTCCTTTTCTTTCTTTTTTTTTTCAAAATTCTCAGCCCAACACTTCAAGGTATTTCATTCATTTCCTTCTTCTATGAGTTGGGAATGTCTGGCATTACCTCCATCTTACTGGTAAGTTTTCTGTCAATATATAATATAAAACATTCTGATTATTGTTGTTATATTCACCATTTCTAAGCCTTCAGATATCTCTCTTATGGATGGGAAATGATAAGACTGTGTTAGAGTTTACCACAAGAATCTTAAGCTATTAGACTAAAACAGGGATT